GTGTCCCAAGGTGCCACTCAACAAGCTGGCTACCCCCACTGGGCATCAATGTGGGATCTATAAACTGGGGGGCATCCCGTACCCCACTCACCCCACAGGACTGCAAAGATGAGTGAAAATGCTTTGTGGATTACAAGTTCTGTGTAGACAAAGGTGATTAAGCATTCATAGCAGGTCTGCTCCTAACAGCCCAAAAAGCTGGAAAGAACCCAAATGGCAATCAGCAGTGGAATAGATAAATGAATTGTGGTTTCTTCACATAATGGAATATAACATAGCAATAAAAAAGAACAAACCAATGCAACCCGCAAAAACGCAGATGAGCATCCCAGACATAATGTTGAGTGAAATAAGCCAGACACAAAAGCAAACATACTGTGTGGTTCAATTTATATGAAGTTCAAGAATAGGCAAAACTAATCTCTAATGGTACGAGTAAAGATAACAATTACCTTTGGGAATATTGACTTGGAGGGGAGCAGAAGGACTGTCTCTGGGCTGCTGGGAATGTTCTAGAATCTAGATCTTGACAGGGTTCATATACAGTATGAATTTATCAAGATGTACATTTGAGTTATACATACTCGCCAGTATGAGTTATACCCGAATTAGACAAAGAGAAACAATTAGGATTATTATTTGAGGAGCTGTCTATGTCAGGAGGTAGGGAGACTTTTTAAAAGGAATTACTTCTTTCTTGTTCTCATCCACCCCTTCAACTTCCCGCTAAAGCATATGTTTCTCAACATCTCTTTATTTCGACATTTTATTCCCGTATTGGCACCCCTACTAAGGACTACTTACTATTCTAGAAGCTGGGGTGCAATCTACATGTAGGTAACATCAATTATGAGCCAGGTCCCAAGGCTCCTCCTCTACCAACATGAGCATTCTCCTCTCAAGCAGGTCCACATGGCAAAGAGCTGCACAGAGCACCTGGGCTCCTTTCCAGAAGGAGCCTATCATTCCAAGAAAGGATAATGGTGCCTACTTCATATACCAACATGCAGTTACTCCTCCACAACCCAGTTCATGTAGCTAGAAGGCAGCAGGGGTAGGGTTTAAACCCAGGTATGTCTGATCGCTATACACCTGCCCCTCTCACCACTCCCGTGCCCTCCCAGCAGCCAGGTCAGCACTGCCCTGTCTCTGGGCAGCTGCCGTAGTCAGCCTCCAGGATGGCTCCATTGATTCTTGCCTCTTGGTATGCAATCCCTTTAGTAAGCTCTTCCCACATTGAGTAGGGCTGACCTGCGTGACCAATACCGTATTGTAGAAATAACAGCCTCTCCCAAGGCTAGGATATGAAAGATATTGTGGCTTCTGCCTTACTCTCACTTAAATCACTCACTGTAGGGAAACCAGCCGCCATATTGTGAGGACACTCAAGCATCCCTACAAAGAGGTCCAAGTGGCAAGAAACTGAGGCTGTGGCTACCAACAGCCAGCACCAATTTGCTACCCACATGACAGAACTACCTTGGAAGAGGATCCTCCAACCCCAGTCAGACCTTGAGAAGACTGCAACCCCATGAGAGACTGCTGGCCTGAACCAGCCACCTAAGCTATTCCCAAAGTCCTGACACCCCCCAGAAACAATTTATTATTGAGATAATAAATATTTATTGCTGCTTTAAGCTACTAAATTTGGGGGTAATTTCTTACATTACATTACTATGTATAAATAATACAGCCCCAGTGAGAGCCACAGCTTCACGCTGCATGATGAGTCTGAAGGTGGCATGTTAAGGGACTGAGAACCCGCCATTTACTAGGGGTGGCCAGAGCAGGCCGAACTGGAAAGCACTGACATCAGCAAGAAATCCCCAGTGTGTGGGAGAAGAACTGTGAAAAAGAGACCAAGCACAGCACAGCCGGTTTCCTAGAAATTTCTCACACATTTCATCCATCTCAGTAAGTAAAACCACGTGTTCCCAGTTACTCTGGCCAGAACCTGGGAGTCATCCTCAAGCCCGTTCTCTCTCTCACACCCAATGTCCAATCCATCAGCAAGGCTCTGGCTTTCCACAGAAGGTAGCCCAGACCCAGACCCTCCTTGCTGCCTTTCCTGCAAGCGCCATGGGCTAAGCCACCACCCTCTCTCACGTGAGCAACATCAGCAGGCTCTTGGCCTATATCCTGGCTCTTACCCTGGTGTCGGCTCAAGACCAGAATGGCCTACTCAAAGTAGAAATCAGATCAGGTCTCTTAGGCCCAAACTCCCCAGTGTTCACTAGTGTCCAGTCATGTGGCCTTCTTTCAAGCATGACCAGCTCTAAGAATAGAGGAATGTCTTCCTCAGGGCCTTTACAAGTGCTCTTTCCCTCCCTTACATCACCATGTGACATCATTTGGGTCCCACCTCTCACAACACTTCCTCCAAGGAGTCTCATAGGGCTAGGTGAGCTGAATCCCCCTCTAACTCAATGTTCCTTTCATAACTGTTTTGCCTACTGTGCCCATCTCCCCTCTTAGAATGTAAGTCCCATGAGGGCGACAGCCTTATCCATCTTGTTCACTTGGAATAGTGTCTGGCCCATAGGAAAACCTTAATAAATATCCATTTGATGAGTTCTCCCTAGAAGCAGGGGATGGACAAGATGACTCCCAAGTTGACCTGGCTATAAGATCCAGAGTGCAGAGCTCTGCTGTGGCTCTGGGCTTCCAGTTGCCCTTCCCAACAGGAGAAAAAGGCTGGGCGGTGGTAAGAGCTGTGGTTTCAAAGAAAGACTCACCAGCTGGGAGGAGCACTCACCACCAGCGGGTCCCATTTCCTACAGAGGAAAATCCTATTCAAAGCCCATCTGTCTGGCCATTGCCTCGCCAGCCTACCCTCTCCCCTCTTGGCTGGCCTCCTTAGCTGGGCAGAACAGGATTGCTGCATCCTCCTAGCACATGTGAGATTTGTCAGGCTGGCTACATCCCCCAACATTCATCGGAGGCATCCCCCTGTCTCCATGAAGGAGGCTGCTGCACAAAAGGGGCTATCTTCTGTCCCATCTCTCTTGGGCTCTCCAGGTCACCCAGGCCCCCTACTCAGACACTGCACTGCCAAGATATTTATCCCCTCATCCTCTCTAAATATATCTCACTGCTGCCCAGAGATGAAAAGCAAAAAGATACAGGGCAGGTAAGAATAGAGGAATATCTTCCAGGAGACAGAGAAGGACAATTAGAAAGAAGCATAAAGGCCCAGAGACAGAGAGTGGGTGAAGAATTACACTGTGAGACCTTGGGGATGTCACTCTACCTTGTGGTGCCTCCACCTCCTTATCTGTAAAACAACATGATCTTTTGGCCAATGTGTTATGCTCTTGTGGAATTAAAAGAATAAAATCTAATAACGTATGCAAAATGCTTTCTAAGGCCTAAAGCACTTGTACAAATGTTCTAACGTTCATTGCTATTAAGAGAAAAAGGCACAGGAAGGGCAGTAGGAAGGGGGGTAGACTGAGGAAGAGCAAGAAAACTGGAAGGTTCTGGAGTTAAGGGTGGGAAAACTCTGCTCCAGATAAACAGAGCAAGGAGAGAGAAGCAGAAACTCATTCTCCATCCAGAGAAGACAAGATTGAGAGAGCCAGAAAGGGCAGAAATGTCACCACATAGATGCTCCTTCTGCAAGCCAGACCCTTTGTTCCTCTGCTAGGTGAGCACTCCGAGCTGGAGTCCACAGGTGGGGAGACGCGCTCTGGCAAAGTGTGGGCACCTGAGGCTTAAGTGAAGTCTCTGGGGAGGAAGCGGATTCCACCCAGAACTGCCTGATCCATTCAGTACCCCTGCCCCAAGGTAACACTTGGCCCCCAATGCTCCCAGCTGACAATCAACAATCACAATGTTTGTGCGCACCCACTGTGTGCCAGGCACTGGGCTGGGCACCTCACACACGTTATCTCATCCACTTCTCATAACAACCTTATGAGGCAGGCTTCCTATTCCCATATGATGAAACAGAGCCCCAGAGAGGTACACAGCTTGCCCAAGGTCACCCAGCAATTAAGAAGCAGAGCATGAGATGCACCAGGCAGGCTGTGACTGCTCAATGAATGCTCCTTTTGGAAGCCTTTTCCATCTTCCTTCTATTCACAGAACTGGTCAAGTGTGAACAGCAAAAGTAGAGGGTTGAAAGGGCAGGAAGGGAACAACAAAAACAGAAGGGGCAGACATTGGCTGCAAGGAAAAGGTAAGGAAAGACATTTCTATCTCTATGCAGAGCTATGTCACTGAACAGGAAAATTTTCTTCCCAAACTCATAAACCACCCCAAGTTTTCCAAGAAGTTGATCTATCACCCTGGGTCTAACCCTGAGAGGATGCAGTAGGGGTCCAGCCAGCCTGGCCAGCCAGGACCCCACTCACTATCCCTCCAGTCTTTGTGTCTCAGTTTCCCTCTCCCACCAAGCCCAGACAGAAAATACTGAAGGGGAAACTGAGGATCAAAAGGGAAGCTGATCAATAAAGAAGGATGGAACAGTCTCTCAGAGGGCTCCAGACCCTTCCTCACCAAAACTCCACTGTCCCCACCTACTCTCTTCTCCCACCCTAAGGGTCCAAAGGCGGTGGACAGTTTTCCTAGGTTGGCAGACTAGGACCAACTAAAGCTCTGCATGGCCCGCGGGAGTGACTGAAATGTATCCCCCTCCCACTAGTCCCCACTCCCCCTAGAGAACTAAGAGAAACACCTTCAAAGGCCCCTCCCTCCGATCTGGGTCCCCGCCAGCCACCTTCTGCAGTCGCCTCGACGGCGCGCCCAGCCCCCTACCAACCCCTTGCTCTCCAGCGCGCCCCGCCCCCGCCCCCGGTGCCTTAGCCTTCACCTTGACCTGGGCTAGCTTCCTGGCCTCGGTGCTTTGCATAAACAAAGAGAGGAGGAGGGACGACTAGGGCGCCGCCCCCATTCCACCGCCCCCCACCCCCCCCACCACCGCGCTGCGTTCCACTCCAGGACCCCAACCCAGGCGCGTCCCAAGTCCTCCGAGGCCCCGCCAGCTTGCAGCCCCTTACCTTGGCCTGGCATTTCCGATGACAGGAGAAGCTGCAGACTGCAAGAGGGTGAGACACAGAAAGAAAGTTTTAGCCGCGAGGTATGAAATGGAAACTCCGCGAAATCTCCTCCCACCCCCGCCCGCAATCCGCGCTCGGGAGGGAAGGAGGGATAGAGGGAGGGAGGGGAGCGGCTGCTGCTGCTCCGCCGGGCCTGCGGGGCGGGAGCGCCTGGGCCTGCGAACTCGCGGGCGAGGAGGCACTGGCCCCCAGCGCCAGAGCCCCTCTGGGCGCGGGAGAGTGCGGGGAACAGGAGGGAGGCTTTCCCGCTGCACCCGCCAGGGGCAGAGATAGCCAGACCCAGACCCCGCACCAGCCTCTCCAGGAATAAGGGAGCCGTCTCCCCTTACACATATAGAGCCGACAGGCATACAACACCCGCCAAACAGAGCACACTCACTGTCCCCTCAACTCCCGAAAGACACAGGCCCAATTCAGGGTGCAGGAGAAGGCCCATACAGACACATGTCCACACAGTCAAAGGCACACTCTCCCAGAACCACTCCCACCCATAGACATAGCTACATACATACACACACACAAACACACAGCCTCACACATGCTCATGCCCAGGAGACCCTCTGACCCAGATCACCCACACACACAGTTCCATGAGAGACCCTCAGAGCCCAGATGCTCACACAAAATTCATGTGCATGAGTACACACTACACACACATGAAGACTCAGAAGCTGGAATCAAATTTCCTATCAGGTTCCCAAAGCCTGGAATATCCCCAGCCCTGTCATTCCACCCCCAGGCCCTGGGACTCCACCCAAGGATTTGATGACCCCCTCCCCCAGCAGGTCACATGGGTGGGGTGAGAGGTCTCCTGAGCTGATTTCTATGCTGACTTGGTCTTGTTGGCTGCCCAGGACCCACTGAGGCAGGTGGGTCCGGGGCCCTGGTTAGAGAACCACCGCAGCCAGCTGCCCCCTTCTCTGGGACCTAGGGCGTCCCACCCTCTTCCAGCTTTGAGCCAACCTGATTCTCAGCAGAATACAGAAGGAGAGGCCAAGGCACAAATTAAGGCCCAGAACAGCCAAAAGAGACCTGAGGCTTCCCCACACTCCTTGGACTTATTGTTTGTCTAAAATGCTAGGGGCTGGGGTGGGGCTGGGGGATAAGCTGGGAGGCACGCTGGGTGGAGCCTGAGATGTGACCTTGGCCAGTAGCCCTTGCATAGGACCTTCTCCCAGGACCTAGTCCTGGCCCAGCTTAGGCCTGTGACTCAGCCCATGCTGAGCAAGGCTTTCCTGACCCCACCAGCCACCCCAACCCAGCTCAGGGACATCTCCACCCTGGCCACACCAGGACATACTGTCCAGTCAGCCACCAGAGTCATACCCATCCAACCACTCTTTTTGCTTCTCCCTCTCCCACAGGGCCCCCCCCCCCATTCCAGGCGGCAGCTCCCTCTCTTCCAGAAGGTATTCCCTCTGGGACACCAACATCCCCCAGTCCCACCCACTAGTCTTTGGCTGGCCACAGAGCGTGGAATTGAGAAATCCTCATGTGGCCTGACTTGGAAGGCCCTTAGAGGGCCACTGTGTCCAGACAGAGAAACGTTTCCCTTTGCTACTTCGGTTCCTACATTGTGGGTTCAGTTCTTTCAAGGAGGGACCTGGCACATAAATATGAACTCTCTCTCTCTCACACAGACATGGAGTACCTGGCACACAGTAGAGGCTTAATAAATGTTTGCTGAATTGGACCTGACTGAAGATCTCCCCGGAGTTCACATGCATCCCCATTTAATTATCCCCATCCCAACATCTCATGTTCAATGAAAAATGCATCCCTAATTGTCCACTCTGGGCCTCTACCCACAGTCTAGCCATGAGGAGCACAATGGGACCCAGGACTCCACCTTCCTCCAGTATAGTCTACACTCTAACAGTTCCCAGAATGCACCAAGCTGTTTCCTACCTCAGGACCTTGGTACATGCTGCTCCAGCTGCCTGGAATACTCTTCTTGACCCCAGCACCCCTCTTAGCCTTCTGAAATCCACTCAAAGGTATTCCCTCAAAGAGGCCTTTCTGACCACCCAAACTAGACAAGGTCCCCATTATTCCTTCTCACCACCTTGGTTATTTCTTTAGCACCATTCACTATCTGAAGTCATCTTGGGTAATTTCCTGCTAATTTATCTAGAGTCTGAGGGCAGGACCATGACTGTATCATTCACACTTTAACCCCAGCAGCTAGAACAGTATCTGCTTCAGGGACACAGGACCATGCAGCATCTTTGTGCAAAGTAGAAGGCCACCCTCTGAGCTGACCAGCCCTGTGGACACACAGCTGGGCTAGTGCACAGTGTCTTTGTGCAATGGCAAGAAGGAGCCCTTTCTCCAGATGGAACAGCCCTGTGCCAGGGTGCATGACTTAGTAAGCAAAACACAGACTGATTCCAGTGCTTTCAGTAGGTGCCCTTGGCAGTACTGGACCAAAGCATGCATGACCATATAGGGCATGTCTGTCCCTGTCACACAGTGGGCAGACATTCAGCAAATGCCCTCCAGTGGATAGCACATGGAGAAATCGTCCTCCACAGCTCTGTACTAAGGGGCAAGGGAAAACCTGCCCCAACTCCCAGCCCAGAAGACAGAAGCTCAGCAAACTGAATGCAAGCATCAGGTGCCAAGCAGAACAGGCATAGCCAAAGCCCCATGAATGGATTTTGACACCTTCAGAAGCCCCAACCCCAAGGAAGCCCTCTTGCTAAGGCCCTACCCCCACCCCAAGGGCTCCTCCTTTCCATTCTTGATCACCTTTTTTCAGGTCTTCCATGGAGCAGTGTGGCCTGCTCTCTAACTTGCATCCCTCTAGCTGTAATTCTGCGGGTCTCTAACATCTCAGGTCAATGAGACAGTTGAAGATGTCACAGAAAAAGAAACTTGTCAAGCAAGCTCACAAGTGGCTGTCCTTGTTTCTTGCCTCTGAAATTCATGCCCTCTGGGAGTCGCCTCCCACACTGAATAGGGCTGATTTGTATAATCAATCAGATACTGTAGAAATGGAAGATATTATAGAAATGAAGCTAAGCCATAAAAGACACTAACTTGAGCCTTGATCACTTGGATCACTTGCTCTAGGGACACTCAAGCAGCTCTGTGAAAAGGTCCCTGAGGTGAGGAGCTGAGGCCTGCCAACAGCCAGGTTCAACTTGCCCCATATGAGTGAGCCAGGTGGGAGGTGGGCCAGCCCCAGCCAGTCCTTCTAATGAATACAGCCCCCCAACATCCTGACTGCAATTTCATGAGACAGACATCCTGAGCCAGAACTACCAGCTAAGTCACTTGTGAATTTCTGACACATAGAAACTGTAGGGGATCATAATTTTGTATTTGTTTTAAACTGCTAAGTTCTGGGGTAACTTTTATGCAGTACTCAATCACTAAAATAGAAATCAGAGCCCAGAACCACTCAGGTAGCAAAAGACCAAAGGCAGTCGATGCTGGGAACAGAGACCAGAGGCCGTCACCTGGGTCCTACCTTGCTCCTTAGTGCCTGCACACCCATTTTTTTAACTCCTCCCCTTTCCTTACCCTACTAAGTAATTAGTTATCATGTCCCAGAAAGAAACCCCAAAGAGGTTATTGAATCCCAGCCTTCCTCCCCAGCTATCCACCATTGCCCCAGTTCAGCCCAGTTACCCCTCCCTGGGCCCATCTCCCCACCAGCCTTGCCCTCTTCCATCCACAAAGCCCCAGACCACTCTCAAGTACAAACTGATCACATCAGAGCTCTGCGTGGAACCTCATCCAGCTCCTCAGCACATCTCATCAGGCCCTGCATGGCCTGGTCTTGTCTCCATCTCCTGCCAGTGCCCCAGAAGAAATCTGTTCCTGTCACACTGAACTCCCCATATGGCGTGTTGAGTCTGCAAGGAGCAGGTCTGGAAAGGTAAACTCATGGATTCTTCACTACCTACTTCCTGTCTCTCGTGGATAATCAGGTGCTCAAAGACGGTCCCTCCTTTCCTATGCTCCCAGAATCCTCAGTTCACAGCCCTTAGAAAGTTCTTGTCACCTTAGAGGATTAAATATTCCTTTATAATTTGCTGTCCTACCAACCCTACATCCGGCTGCTTCTCTGAGACAGAAAAGGGTGGTTCTGTTCAACATTCCAGCTTTGTACGCTGCCTCTTCCCCAGCACAGGGCCTGACACACAGATGGGGCTCAACAAATGTGAAGGAAATTTCAAATCAGAAGAGTTCTCCATCTAAGCCCCTGGGACATGGGTGGGTGGAACAACACAAGTAAGGGTGGGTAAGCCCCACTTTTTGGCACCAGCCCCTACAGAGAGAGGGCAGGCTGGGACCTGGAAGTCAGTACTTCCCAAGCTGCTTTGAACACCACCAGGCCTAGTAAGGAGGGTGGGGGGCTTGGGGGTGAGGGAATTAACTGACCCTTCCCCGACTCATCTGCTGACACTACTGTTTATCTAGACACTCCCCACCTCGTGGCATGCAGAGAGACTGTCAGCTCCAGTGTAGTCATGCACTTGCTATGTGATCTGGGCCAGGTCACTTAATGACTGAGCCTCCATTTCTTCATCTGCAGGTGATAATAGCATCTACCTCACAGGGCTCTTGTGAGGATTAAAGGAAGCCTAGCAGTTACGCTTGGCACAGAGGGTGCTCTATGGAAGGGTAACCTGCTCTCAGCAGCATCTTCATCACCTTTGTTTTCACTGTTATACAGAAGAGCCCCCATCTGCTAGACAAGAGACCTAGATTCCAGCCCTGAGTGCTCTCATATAGCTATCTGACTGAAGCAAGTCACGCATCTCAGACTCCATGTCCCTTGAATGGCAGCTTCCAGGGTGAATTGGGCCTCCACCCTTACCTTCATTTGATGGCTGAGTGTTTAAAACACTGAGACTTTATAAGTTAGTTGGAATGCATTGGCAAAGCAGATCTCCCCAGGTGCTAGGATTTCCACCATGTCCCACATTTATTCACCTGCCTTAACCTTGAAGCCCCTAGCATTTGTGCCCCTGCAACAGGTGGTCTCCCAGCCCTGTTCCAGCTCTGACAGCCTGTAATATGGCCAGTCTCATTTCTGACATTGTTTGAACGTGTGTGTCCCTCCTAAATTCATATGTTGGCACCCACTGTGATAGTATTACAAGGGATGTGAGGCCATTAGGATGTGATCAGGCCATGGGGACTCTGGGCCCTTATGGATGGATCAGTGCCCTAATGAAAGGCCATGAAGGAGTGAGATCGTCCTTTTTGTCTTCCCTCTGAACCTTCCACCATGTGAGGTCACAGCATTTGTCCCCTCCAAAGGATACAGAAACAAAGTACCATCTTGGAAGCAGAGACCAGGCCCTTACTAGGTGTCACATCTGTTGGAGCCTTGATTTTGGACCTCCAGCCTCCAGAAACGGTAAGCAGTAAAAATTCTGTTGTTTGTAAGTTATTCAGTCTGAAGTATTTTGGTATAGCAGCCCAACAGACTGACTCTCCATCGATGTCACCACCCATGTCTTCCTCCAACCAGGAGAAGAGGAAAACCAGGTTCCAACCCTGAGAATGTGCCAGAGGCTATTGGGGAAACAGCCAGTCTGTGGGTGAGAGGGACACTCCCTCTGCAAGGTACCATTTCTCACTGAGTGGATGGAGGTAGGCAGGAGAACCCCAGCCTTCTCCTCTCCCAGCACCCCTCAGCTGCCTGAGTTCTGCACACATCTCAGGATCAACCCCACCCCAGCAGACCATGGCCTCCCAGCTCCCACAGAAGCCCTAAAAGTCACAAGCCCACCTACAGCGCCCTCCTGAGCCAGCACTCTGGTGCCCTGGACGAGTGTCTTATCAAACCTAAACTCCATGGATTCCCAGGAACCCATCTCCAACAGGAGATCAACACTGTCCCCACACAACAGCACCCAGTGGTGGCCTGAGAGGAGCAGAAAACCCCATAGTGAGGAGGGTCCCTTGGGTTACCTGCTGGGGTGGAGAAACACCCCAGCTTCAGCCCTTAGCCCCTGCTCTTCTCAACTAGGCCACCGGTACTCTGTCCTGGGGTGGCTTCCTGCCTCTCGGAACACAGGAAGCCAACATTGTTGGGATCTAAATGGCCTTTTCCTCCTTGACTTTAGTTGGAAAATGAGCACATAGCCTCAGTGTGCACCTGACCCTGGCAATAACTGCTCATATGCCTTGCCCAGCTTCAGCTCCTTCCCCAGCTGGCAGGGAGACAGGCCTGGATGCTCACCTGCTCACCAGCCACTCAGCCCTACCCTGCCTATCCACTTCCAGGGCCCAGACTAGGGGTGTGTGGTGGTTAATTTCACATGAGTCAACTTGTCTAGGCCATGCTACCCATACATTTGGACAAATGCATTCTAGATGTTCCTGAGAAGGTATTATTTTTAGATGAGATTCACATTTAAGTTAGTAAACTTTGAGTAAAGCACATTATGCTCCATAATGTGGGTGGGTCTCATCCAATCAATTGAAAAACTTACCTAAGCAGGAATGAATTCTGCCAGCACACTGCTTTTGGAATTGACCACAACTCTTCCCTGGGTCTTCAGACTGATTTTGGACTTTGCAAGTCTCCACAATCACACTAGCAAATTTTTTAAAATAAATCTCTATCATCTCTCTACTTCTGCACACCCTGTTGGTTCTCTTCTTCCAGAGAACCCTGACGAATGTCTCAGAAGGTGCTCTGAGGGCTGACCTGGCTCTCAAGTAGGAACAAGAAGAAATAGATCATCCCATCTCTAGATCATCCCATGTAGCAGTTTTCAAACTTTTATTTTTGCAGCCAAACTGTTCATGCAGATGGCCTCATATGTAGAATCTCACTGATGTCAGTTAAGATTTACTGAATCCTTGCTAGGTGCCAGGCTCTGTTGTGAGCCTTGCACACGTGCATATATTATCTTATTTAATCCCCATAGTAACCTGATGAGGGAGGTACTGATATTTGTCCCTTTTTTGTTTTGTTTTGTTTTGTTTGTCGAAACAGAGTCTCACTCTTATCACCCTTGGTAGAGTGCCATGGTGTCACACAGCTCACAGCAAACTCCAACTCCTGGGCTTAGGCGATTCTCTTGCCTCAGCCTCCCGAGTAGCTGGGACTACAGGCGCCCACCACAACAATGCCTGGCTGTTCTTTTTGTTGCAGTTAGGCCAGGGCCAGGTTTGAACCCACCACCCTTGGTATATGGGGTTTGGCGTCCCACCCACTGAGCCACAGGCACTGCCCTGTTCGTCCCATTTTAAAAATGAAGAAACTGAGGCTCAGAGAGGTGAAGCAGTCTGCCCAGGTTCTCACTAGTAAAGGTCAGAGCTGGTATTTGAATCATTTGGCCTAACATATTTAACTCCTAAAACCACAGCTGCTCTGACTGAAGTGGGCAGGGGTTCCAGAACCCTGACACCTTAAGATTTCCTTTGCATTTCATCTCTTTCCCACCCTCTTGGACCCCTAAAACACCACCAAGAACCTTAAAGCTCCTTTGAAACACAGTTTACAGCCTCTGCTCTAGTCTAACTCCCTCATTAAGAGAAAAGGGAAAGCCAAGCTCAGAGAGGTTAAGTGTCTCACCCAGGGTCACACAGTCAAGAAGTGGCCAACCAGATCTAGAAACCCAGGGTCTTCCCACCCTGCCAGACAGCCTCTGATGGATTCAACAAGGTCTTCAGACACGGGAAGAGCTGGGGTCCCAAAAGAGGTAATGGAGGGAAGGAGTTCTAGAAGGTTTCCCTGACTCTAACCAATGAGGCTTTCTGGGTCAGCTTTTCCTATTAAAAGCTGAGTTGTCTTTCCAGGTACATCCTGCTCAAAGGAAACTGCAAGTGACGATTTCCCTCTGACCAAAAGGCATTGAGAAGGATAAAGGTCTGAACCATTTCCAGATAGCATCCCTTGGACTCCTGAGCTGACTGACATTCTGGTCTCTTCCCTTGGGTCTCAGCTTGGTGGGACACTAGGGCCCTTGAGCAAAGCTCTGAGCCCATCCAGCCTCCATCTGGGGACTCCCTTAGAGTACTGTCCCAGGGACCTGTAGGAAACTTACTATCTGGAATAAAGACCTACTTATTCATCAAGACCCAGCCTACATGTGCCTTCCCTGGTGAAGCCTGACAAGAACATGGCTGCTGAATCAGAGACACCTGTGTCCATCTTTTTCCGTATGGACTGGCTCCCAGCCCCAGCACCTGGCATGGCATCTAGCTCAGAGGATAGCTCAGCTCATGATTGTGGGATGGATGCATGCTACCTGGAGGAGGTGAAGTGGCAGCCTGTGCTGGGCAAGTTATCCTGCCTTTGTGGATTCCAACCAGGGGATTTTCCAGACCCTCTTACTGTCTAGGCCTCATTGAGCTTTCTTGGTTCAGCCTCCTCAATTACAGATGAGGAATCTGAGGCCCTAGATGTGAAGTGACTTATCTAAGGTCACACAAGTTGTGAGAAGAAGGGCCAGAAATAGAGCCCAGGCCACTGACGGTGTCCCTCTGTCTTTTGTCCTCTCCTTTTCTCAGCCACCAGTATATCCCTCACACAGAGCTTTAGTCCCTAGCATTAGGACCCCCCACAGTCTCACAGTAACCTCCTGAGACAAAGGACAGGTTTCTCTTCACCCTATCGCACACAGGAGGAGACAGACACAGCACAGTAAGATTTTCCCAGGTCTCTTAGAATCTCTTTCCCTGTATGTCTATTACACCCATATGTCCTGTCCCCTCGCTTCCTTGTCTGTCTTTGAGTCTCTCATAACCAGGACAAGACCCTGAGCTCCTTGCCTCCCTTGACCACCCCTACTGCCAAATTACATCAAATAAGAAATGCAGGAGGGCAGGAAGCAGAAGAATGGTCCATGCTATAGAGCTAGGAGCCAGGGACAGACAGGACAGATGTCCTAGTGTCTCCGGGTATAGGAAAGTTTCCTCACTGCCCTCTGCCTCCAGAAGTTTTCTCAATGTTGTAAATCCCATAGAGACTGCAAATCCAGGGCCTTGGTATTCCATATATGCTGCCCCACCCATCACTCCCAGCCACTAATCCAGGCCTTGCTGGGCTGAGCCGAGACTTAAAGACTTCAAGGAACCAGACAGCAGAGCAAACCTTTGGACTTGGGCTTCAGGAACAGACATGGGCCAGAGTTTAGTCTACACTTGTGCCCTCAGACAGGACACAACTCATACAACCACATCTGGCAGCCCTGGAGGGATAAGTGGGTGGGCAGAGAAGATGGTCTGTCCATCTCCTGCCACCACGACTTCTTGGTTCCAAAGACAGAGAGTTGTTCCGCTCCTGCATTCCACAGTGATCCTAGGGGTTCCCAACCTTGCCCCCAGCCTAATCCTGAGGTGCACTTGGCCTGTACAGATAGGACACTTCCTCCGCGCTGGCCTGGCGTCTCCACCTTCTATGACCCAGTCCTGACACCTGGTGGTGCCTCTGGAGCATAGCCCTAGCTTCCTTCCCAATTCCCCACCCTGCACCAGGGCCCAGCCAGAGCTGCCAAACCAGCCTGGCCACCCACCCTCTTCACTGGCTCAAACCGGCAGGGTCAGGCTGGGCTCTGGGTGAAAGGAGGGCCACTTTGGGAGCACACCATTCGCATAGAGTCAAACCCCCTCCTCAGGCCAAGTCAACTGGGGGGCCTAGAATAAGGGGCCACAGGAGGCTTCAGCAAGATATGCCCAAGGTCACACAGTGGGGTCCCCAGGACTTCCTCCTGCCCCACCCCTGGGGCTGTCTCCTATCATAGCAGCACAGCAGCCCCCTGGGGTAATGGGAAGACACTAAGGTGAGAGACAGAATCAAAGTTAGGCAGCCTCTAACAAATGCAAAGTTGAGTGCAGGGCAGTATGGGGGCTTGTTATACAAACGAAATGCAAAATCTCACCCTCTACTGTTCCTCTGTGACTTCACCCCTGGCTTCCCCCCACACCACCAGAAAGAACCCGCCAGACTTCTTCAGAGGAGGGTGACACCACGTGGCTGATCTCGGTATTGCAAAATTTCCTTTGGGCTCCCTAAACTTATGCTGGTTGTCCCAGCCCTTCAGTTAAGGTCCCTGGCCGACCTTGCCTAGAATGCCCTCCACACACACTCACACATACTCACACTCACAGACTTCCAGCCATCTACTCCTACCTCCAACACCTAGCTGAATGCTTCCTATTCCCCAAGAGCATACACGCTGAAAAACCCAATCCACCCCAGTCAGCTGGTTGCCTTGGCAGATGTCGTGACCCCTCTCAGCCTTAGTTTCCTCCTCTGTAAAATGAGGATGACACAAGTGCCTTCCTGATGCTGTCAGCATCAGATGAGGTCATGCCTGTGAGCATTTGGTGCTCAATCAGAGCTTTACAAATTGCTCACTGGACTCTGACGCCCAGCTCCCAGCCTACTGGGACATCAGCATAGAGGTAGAGACAGTCATATGAAAAAAAGCTCCAGGGCTACAAAGAACGTGGGCCAGTGTGGCCTATTAGACACAGCTGGCATGGTCAAGGCTTGTGCAAGGAGAGTGGGGCCAGGGTGGGGAGCCCCAGGACAGAGAGCTGAGCAGAGGCTAACCCTGTGGGCCCTGCAGCCCTGGGAAGGGGCCTGTGCTTTGTCTTGAAGTCATGGGACCTCCCAAAGACTTTACCCCAGAGGACTGCTGACGTAACCAGCCCCACTGGAAGCTGATGTGGGGTCAATGGCAGAGAGTGGCTCAGGAAACAGGAGAAGGCAGAGCTGAGGCACTCGTCCAGGTGAGAGATGACGGCAGCTGAGCTGGAAGGAATGATGAGGCGCTGGGTGACCAGCTGTCCTTGGGTGCCTAGTGACTGATAGGATATGCGAGTGAAAGAGAGGGGGCCCTCTAGTGAGGCAACTGGGATGGATGATGGTGTCAGTCTCTGAGACTGGGGGCGGGGCCTTCTGCTGATGTCACTGAGTGATCTGGGACAAGACACGGACTTCTCTGGCAACAGTCTCAGCCAAACACAGGCTGTGCCAGGAGCACATGAGAACAGAGATTGAAAAGCACAGCAGCCAGCATGTCCTGCACCAATTCCGATTCAGGGCCTCCTAAAGTCACCCCTAAACTGCCACAGGGGAGGATTGTGGCTTGCCTTCTATGCAGGATTCCCAGTGCCAGACACATGCCACCCTCATCCACACACTCAACCAGATGACATCCATGTGACCTCCAGGCCCATTCCACAAACCCTCCATACAGCTTTCACATGCCAATGACGTACCGTCTACATACCACACACACACCATCCGCACACCACCATCTACTAGCCACGCACCTTCCACATGTCATTCATATGCCATTGATGTTGGCATACCTTCTTCTGCCATTCACACATGTACCCCAACACAGGCCACATGCCACTCACCACCTGCCACGCCTACCATACCAGCCTACATGCTCGCCATCCAGTGAACTCTGTCAGAATCTTTCTCCAGATGAGAAAGCCACCAGCTCGGACCCCCAAGATGTGTGCACAGCAGAGTCCCAGACTTGCCTGGGCCCAGCCATCTCATCCCCTCCTAGTGGCATTCCCATCCCCCACAGCCTGGCCAGTCACTCACCTTTGCAGGTGCAGCCCTCCCGGGTGATGACCTGGCGGCAGATTCCACAGGGCTTCACCTTCTTAAAGGTCTTCACCTTGAAGTGGTGTGTCTTGGGGGCCTCCAGATCCTCCGGCTATGGGAGGAGAGGCACAGGGGTCAGTGCTGGCAGGAGACTGGGTTCCTGGGGAGAATTTGGGGGGCTGGGAGAGGTAGGAAGTGACTCAGAAAGGGATGGCAATAGTCCTTCAGGGTCCAGAGGAGGCAAGGAAGCCCAGGGATAGAGAAAGGTCTCATCCCCGACTCCCAGACTCAGTGGGGCCCAGGGACTGGACCCAGATAGCAACTAGCATAGCCTGGCATCCAGAGACCACAGTCCCCTGCATGGCCTCCCACTGTTCTTTTCCTTGTATTCACTCTCTCATTAAGGCACTGCTTACACACAGTAGCACATACTCATTTTAAATGTAGTGCTCGACACAATTTTATATATGTCCACCCCACAGAACCACACCCCGCAGGCTCCCTCAAGATCCCTCATGACAATACTATTGTGACTTCCATCACCAAAGAGTCATGTTGCCTGATTTTCGCACTTCATAGATAAGGACGCATCTGCTGTGTGCTCTCGAGTTCTCTCACACAGCCTCAGTCCGTGAGGTTCAGCCCTACTGTTGCACCAGCAGCAGCTCCTTTGCCGTTGCTGTGTCCCTGCATATGAATGTGCCAGTCTCTCTGCCCACACTGCTGTTGATAGGCCTTGACTTCTCTGACCCACAGGGCCCGAGAATGCTCTTTCTCCCTTCTCTCCCCACCACCCTCACCCTCACCTCCTGCCCCAGCCCAGAAGGCTTCTTCCATCTTTATGTTTGTTTTCTATTCTTTGTGTTATAAAACTGTGACTGTGTTGACTAAATTGTACCCTGTCACATGGGAGAGGGGAGGCAGGTTGGTGACCCAAGGCCTCCTCTGTGTCTAACTTGCAGTGAAGCCTTGGACCAGTCACCACCTGCCACCACTACCCCAGGCCTCAGTTTCCCCCCTTTGGCTGGCACCACACCTCTTTAACTCTGATGGTCTGTCCTTTGCAACCACATATGGGGACACACTCTAAGCTGCAAAGCTCTGCACTGGCATTACCTGCCTTGGTGGCCCCAGCACAGGCAGAGCTGGAGGTGCTCCCTATTCAGAAGGCCCCCCAGGACAGGGATCCCCTACCCGAAGCCCTCGACCAGGGGTCTAACTGCATTCACCTCCCAGCAGCAAGGGCTGGGGGCTAGACACAGGACCCAGCAGCTGCCTCTTTTCCCTCTCCAGGCACAGACCTTTGTGACACCACTCTGTACTCTCAAGCACACACAGACACATTATGGCCCTGTGGGGGTTGGAGAGGGCTCTCTTCCACATCCCCTCCTTGTGCCTGCTCCAGAGCCCCCAGCTCTGAGATACAGACTGGGAGGTGACAGTGAGTTCAGAGGAGGAAAAGTGGCAGCGTCTCACAGCCCTGTGTGTCAGGGTCTC